TATGTTTCTTATCCCGTGTATCAATGCTAAAAAATTGAAACCTTTAGTGACCTAGGGACAGAGATCGTCTAATCTCAGCTCTGCTGTTTTTAAGGGCTACTTTCTTTGTTGATATCTTTGACATATATGACTATCAAAGCAGCAGAACGGGACCGGACATTAAACTTTATACCAAAGGTCTTCAAAATTATTTAAGATCGCTCCCATCCAGACTGGAAAAAGTTGTTTTCTTCCAATGAAAATAAGCAAGCATTGCTCCTGTTTCTTGTGAATTTGATAGTTTGTTATCTCCAAAAGAAACATAATGCACTAGCAAATAATAGTGAACTAACTTTAGCTTGAAAATTTCCCGATCCTTTAATCGTTATACGCATTTGTGCTAAAACTGTCATTGGTTTCGTCGATCTTTACAGTACGCGTGAGGAAGCTGATACGGGTATGATTTTGCACGCTGTATATGTCGATAGACAATTTGGAAGCGGTAGCTGTAAAGGAAGGATCAAAGTGAAATCCCCTGACACGGATGTTTTAGTTTTTTGTGTCCAATATTTTTCTTCCCTAAAAAAACACAGAAGAGCTTTTGTTTGAAACAGGAACTGTAACCAGCACGAAGGATGCAAGACGTTTTATACCTATACATGAACTATGCAATTCTTTAAATGCCATCGTCAGTCAATGTTTGCCTGTCGTGCATGCTATTTCAGGATATGACTCCACATCGGCAATGTTTGGTAAAGATAAAAAAAAAAAAGGCCGTTTTCAAAGTCCTTAAACAGGTGTGTAGTGATGTTTCCGATTTCGTTAACCTAGCAAACTGTGATGTTGATGAATCTCTTTCTGTAGCAAGAAAGCTCGTGGATTGCTTTATGGTCAAAGGAGTAAATTCAAAACTACACAGTGACCTCAATCAATTACGTGTAAAACTTGCGACTACTAAAGATGCGTCTCTAGCCAAGCTTCCCCCTTGTGAATCAACATTTAGGCAACATTTGATTAGAGCATCTTTGCAGACAAGTATATGGATGACATCACACCTTCCTAAACCACCTTTATGTTGTCCGTTATACTTTGAATGGATTGAAAAGGAAGGTTTGAAGCCGGTATTTTTAGAGGTCAAACTTTGATGTCTTCTGACTTCATACAAGACCTTGTGTGTACTTGTAAAGGAAAAGCTGTGTCCTTAAAAGATTGTGTTTGCTTTGAGCCGAACCTTTTATGTGCAGACCTGTGTCCATGCCAGGCAAGTGACATGTGTGGAAATATCAATACACGTCTTGTAATGGTTGATGGAAATGAAGATGCTGGAGATCAGACTTGAGTACCTTTTGAAGTCTGTGGTCCGTTGCAAGGCAAAAAGGGGGTTATGGAAGTAAAACCAATCATGTTATAGACATTAGCCAGAGTAAAATACACAAGAGTAGATATTGCTATGGAAGCAGCAATAATCGGTGAAAAACAGAAGCAACGAGTTGTCTATAAAAAAACAAAAATATCCGCAAATTTAATATGAGATCATATTTGACTGTAGTGTACTATTGCTTCTGGCTTGATACCTTACCCAATATGCTAGTTTAAAAAAAATAATTTTAAAGTATTTTTCCTCATGCCACTTGATTTGTACGTGAAATTAAAATGATTTATACGGTTAGAGTGCTATATACATTTTATGGGTTGAAAACTTGGTTTTTGAAGTTTTGGTTATAAAAACGTCGTTTTGGGAAATTTTTTGAGAAAAATATCTAGGATTAAAGTTTATTTATAAATTCAAACATTACTAAGGCCAAAACAGAATCGTTTGCATTTAGGTAAAAGTTAGAAATAGAAAAAAAATGTCAAAATTGAAATCCTTCAAAATTTTCACAGATTTGTCAAGATGACCTTTGACCTCAATTTAAAAACATTGTAACAATATCCCATTTTTACAACATAATATTGTTAAAGAACAAGGTTTCCTCTTTCGAATGATATAAAATATAGGTGTGTGTTCGGTGGGAAAATTAAATTCCCCAAAATCTGCCCTCAGTCACCGCACTAAGATCAAACTTATTCGTTCAGTGTATGTTTACTTGTTTTTTTTGTGTTGAAGGCCGTACTTTGACTTATAATAGTTAACTTTTTATACATTGTGACTTTTTGCTAACGTTTTTCACGAGAATTTTGTGGTCAACTCAACTGTTACACTTTTGCGCATATAAGGACCAAGTTTGAAGATTTAATTCATTACAACGTTAAAACGTCACCATGCCAAGGTTCGACCCTGCTATTCGAAATATCGTCATCGGCCGGAGTATCCCAAAGTGAAGTAGCAAGAACTGAAAATGTTAACCAGAGCACAATTTCGCGACTTTGTAACAGATACCCGCAGACTGGCTGTACTAAGGACCGCCCGAGGAGTGGACGATCTCGCCTAACGACTCCTGGACAAGATTGCTATATTCGGGTATTTCATCTACGGAATCGAACCGTTGCTGCAACAGCCACTGTAGTTGGGATACCAGGGTTTAGAAGAATCAGCTCACAAACAGTCCACAATCGACTGCGACAACATGACATTAGACCCAGGAGGCTGTGATATCGACCCGATTTGTGGCTTTTACACACGCGGAATACAGTCCGATGGTGCAACAGATCGAGGGGCTGTACATTCCGCAACTGGCGCAGAATCTGCTTCATTGATGAGTCCCGTTTTATGCTTCAGAAAAGAGATGGAAGAACTCGTGTCTACCGGCGCACTAATGAACGCTTTGCTTCCTCGTGTGTCCAAGAAGTGGACAGCTTCGGTGGAGGAAGTGGCATGATGTGGGCAGCTATTTCTAATAACCGTAAAACGGAATTGGTACATGTTCCGGGTAATTTGACGGCTCAAAGGTACAGAGACGAAATTCTCCAACCTCACCTTATGCATGTTATTGCCCGACAGAGGGAGTTATTCCAGCAGGACAATGCTAGGCCTCACACAACGCGTTTAACAATAGACTACCTTGAGCAGAATAACATCAATGTGCTACCTTGGCCTTCCAAATCACCGGACTTGAATCCTATTGAGCATCTATGGGACCAACTGGATAAACGTGTGCGCCAGCGTCAACCCCCGCCTCAGACCCTTGATCAGCACCTACAAATGTTGCAACAGGAATGGCGAGCAATTCCACGCAACAACATTAGAACATTGATAACATCTATGCAGAGATGATGCGTAGCAGTCTTAGCAGCGAGAGGTGGTCATACACGGTACTAACTTTAATGACACCGGAAGTAACTCTAATTTTGATAAAGTAACTTTTATTCATCAATCTCGAAGGAATTGACTGTCCTCTTCTCAATCAAACACGTTTTGAGTGAATATCTATATTAGTAATTGAAAAATTTCCATTCAAAATACATGTATTAAAATTATTAAAAATCCAGTATGCGTTTCTTTTTTTGCAGAGTATACTTATATATACCTAAGACACATGAAACATATACAGTGTTACTTTCATTTCTCAGTTAATACGATATTCAGGATGATGAAGGATATGAAACCTATGGTTCCTATTGATAAGTTGATCTTATCCTGTTAAACGTTTTACGGACATCACAATGACTGTTTTGACCGACTAATGGCTCTTATGGAATAACTGTCACTATCACAGATGTCCACCGATATATTCAGTATATCTGAACCACCATTTTGTCTTTTCCCCCGACTGTAACATACTTTTTATCGATTTGTTTCCTTGCCATTAGTAACACATTGGTTGCCACAAGTAACTAGCAGATTAGGAACTGATTACTCTTTCGGAGCATCCAAGTTGTTTTAATTGGGTTCATGTTGGTCAATCTTTAGTATTCTGTTCATTGTTTTGTGAACTTTTAATTTTCCTTTTCATCCTTTTTTCATTTGTCCATGATGTTGTCAATTTTTCTGAATCTGATGGTTTTAAATCGATTGTAAAGATAAGGAACATCACTCAGCTCTAGTATACCGGAATAGTAGATAACAGAACAAAATTATAAACACGAGAACAAGTAAAATTATATAAAATTGATCCTTAAGAACTTAAGAGCAAATGCAAATTTTGTGTATACTTCAAAGAGACAGCAACCCACAGCCGCATGACATTAGATACATCAAGAGAGTAATACACAGAGTTAGAAGGTCTTTCGTGTCTAAAAAAGTGGTGATCATAAATCTAACACAGAAAATAAACACAAAATTAGATAAAAGACAACCACTAGCGAGGTTCATCATTGTGACCAACATATTATTAAAAGTTCTTTTTAAGACCTCAAACCATCCCCTATTAATATCGACCAGTAGAAAAACAAAAGGTGAAGAAAAGAAAAAGAAAAAAAAACGGTTCGATTAAAGGAATTTACTTAATCATATGATATAGAAGATTGTAAAAATACACATAAAAGTCCACAATGATAAAGAATAACGTATCAAAGATTGCTACTAAGTGAACACAATCCAAAAGCACACCACCTACCAACTTGAATCTATCCCTCCCCTTACTGCAACTCCTGTGACCAATACAGACATGACTTTGCAACTCTGACACCACCATAGGCAAACGCGACGATAAACACATCAAAAAGAAAGAAAAAACATCACACACAATGATTATAACTAGGCTGAGTATAGATATAGACTTTATCAACAGTAAATACGAAAAAAATGAGAGACAATCCTCAAAACTAACGAGAACGGACTTTTTGATTTTTTACTTTCATATCATTTAACTCTGATGATCAGGAAATTATTTAAAAAAAGATATATCCTACATAATAACAACATGTACGTGTATAACCACTTTCTACTTTCGAAGTAAGACAAAGTAATGTTTTGAGAACTTGATTAGTACCACATGGTTTTGTTTCTTATGTATTGGAAATTCTGTTCTTAAGTCTATGGCATACTGGTCACCTTTTTTGATAAGCTAATTATAGAAATAATCTAAAAATAAATATTTGCGTAGTGCATTTTACATTGAATTGTTATCTTATGTTGAAGCATGATGCGGAAGTTATTTTGTAACGTAAAACACATTTATTTCATTTTTCAATAACAACTGGAGATAAAAACCGGGACTTAAAAGTGGTTATAGCGTTGTCTGATTCATATTTGTTTTCAATGTGTTATATTTGAGCTATTTGTGTACATGTTTATACCTGTGCATGTATTACGAAATACCAGACAACGCCTTTGGTATTTATTTTGAAGGTAAGCATTTATATCAAGATTCGTTGCAGTTGGTTCACTATCTCATAATTTTCGCCCTAAAAACCCTTTTTTTAACTGCGATAAAGTTAAGAAAATTATATGAAAACATATGTTAAAATGTCCAATTGTTTCAGTTATAAATGATTTCGACCAGTTACGTCATGAGTGACGTATTTATGACGTCATCAATGTAGGTGAGTTAGTGAGCGCCTGTTTATTGGCATAATATGGTGACATTTATGTCAATTTTCTGAAAAATTCACAATGGCGCCACCCCTCGCCCACAAATACTTTTACTGAAATCAATTATATATACCATATTCTTACTTTTCAACCTAAATTTCAATGGGCGAGGGGTGTAGCGCCACATGTGAAATCATGTAATAAGGTAAAAAGATACTTTCAAAAAAAATACATTTAGCAATATATACACAGTAAATTTACTCGAACAATTGAAGTTTTAAAAAATGCACCTCTACAGGGCCGTTTGTTGGGGTTACTGGCTCTACTCCTTTGTATTTTCACATCCGTACCGCCCATAGGTCCAGAAATTATTGTAGTGTTTTTCAACAAAGATTTGACCCTCGAACTTTTCAATTCAATTTTATGGAAAAATGAGGTGAAATGCATTTTTTTTTGTATCTCTTAATAGATACATGTTTATGGTTTCAGAAAAGGTATCACTCTAATGGATTGAAATTCTTTTTTGGACCAAATTTTGGGGACTTTTGTGACATTTTCAACCCCCCCCCCCCTTTTGCAATATTTTGTATCAAATAAATGAAGATTGTTGCCATGGTTACACCAACAAAAAAAATTCTATTTCACCATTTTAACTACTGTAAATCAAGTCTATGGAAGATGCTGTTTCCATACATATGCACATACATAACACAAATATTAAGCCTTATTTGTTAGAAAGCAAGAGAAAGAGGGTGGTTAAAAATTATGAGTGTCAATTTAAAGTTTTTTCCCCTAACTGTTTATTGCTACCTTATGGCATTTGAGAAAGCACAGAATTGCTTATTTTAAGACAATCATACTACAAATCTATTAATGTTTAGATTATAGATCCAATACAAATCTATTAATGTTTAGATTATAGATCCAATTCTGCGGGTGAAATATCTTTTAGGAATGCAATATATGTTAATTTTGTTGTTTATTGTCCTCAGCAACCAGTATAGACATTTTGACACAAAGACTTGGTTCGGTCATAAATTCATACTCTATTGGCTACCCCTTGTAAAAAAAAAGAATGTGCTTTATGTAACAACCTCAATATGTGAAACGCTTTATATTTTATCATGCAAATAAATCAAATTTATATTTCAGCAAGGTATATTGTTACAATTTGGCATGAATTAAGTCTAAATTTGTCCCTTCTGTTATAAATGGAATCAGTATTTGCCAAATTTTAATCAAGGCTTTGGTATGCTATCCACAATAAAAATTGAAATTCTAGAGCTTTAAAATAGCTTTAATTTGTACAATTTGTCTACTGTATAGCTTATTTTAAGTTTTTAAACATGAAAAGACAGAAACAAGAGGTTCAGTTTTAGAATTTTAACTAAAAATGAAAATTTACACGTTGACATGGCATGTTTCTTCAAATCACTTTTTTGTTGCATTTCAGTGATAACTGCTAACCTTCATAAAATATTTATTTCTGAACCAATTTTCAAAACTAGTAGGCCAATTTACTCATTTTAGCTAGCAGAACACAAAAATCTATTAAAAGTGGAAATTGAAAAAAAAGTTTCACCTTAAGGTAGCAATACACAGATAAAAGTTAAGTTTCACATTTTGGCCATGATGAATTTTTTAAATATGAAAGTTTTTGTACAATAAAATTGATTTTTAGATAGCTGATCAATAGTATAGCCTTCCAAGTGGGTTTATATGAACATCAAGATTGTTTTTGCATGTTGTATAGGCCATTTTTCTGTTTGACAGTCCGTATTTTCACATCGGTACCGCCCATAGGTCCAGAAATTATTGTAGTGTTTTTCAACAAAGATTTGACCCTCGAACTTTTCAATTTTATGGAAAAATGAGGTTAAATGCATATGATTTATTTGAACCTCTTAATAGATAAATGTCTATGTTTTCAGAAAAGGTATCACTCTTAGACTAATGGATTGAAATTCTTCTTTGGACCAAATGTTGGGGACTTTTGTGACATTTTCACCCCCCTTTTGCAATATTTTGTATCAAATAAATGCAGACTGTTGCCATGGTTACACTAAAAAGAGATTCTATTTCACCATTTTAACTATTGGAAATCAAATCTATGGAAGATTCTGTTTCAATACATATGCACATACATAACACAAATATTAATCCTTATTTGTTAGAAAGCAAGGGAAAGAGGCTGATAAAAAATTATGAGTGTCCATTTTAAGTTTTTTTCCTAACTGTGTATTGCTACCTTATGGAATGACTCACTATTACAGATGACCACGGATATACTCGGTATATCTGAACCACAATCTTGTCTTTTCTTCCGACTGTAACATCCTTATTATCAATTTTTTTCCCTTGCCATTAGTAACACAACGGTTGCCACAAGTAACTAGCAGATTAGGAACAGATTACTCTTTCGGAGCATCAGAGTTTTTTTAATTGGGTTCATGTTGGTCAATCTTTTGTTTTCTGTTCATTGTTTTGTGAAATTTTAATTTTCCTTTTCATCCTTTTTCATTTGTCTATGATGTTGTCAATTTTTCTGAATCTGATGGTTTTAAATCGTTTGTAAAGATCAGGAACATCACTTAGCTCTATTATACCGGAATAGTAGATAACAGAACAAAACTATAAACACGAGAACAAGTAAAATCATATAAAATTGTTCCTAAAGAACTTAAGAGCAAAAGCAAATAGACAGCAAACCACAGCCGCATGACATTAAATACATCAAGGGGGGGTGGGGGTAGGACCTTTATCGGGACTCCGGGATTTCGGGATTGACCCTTTCGGGATTCGGGAATTCCTTTTTCGAATTTCGGGATGTCGGGATTTAAATTTTTTAAAATTCGGGACCTCGGGATTCCATGTTTTTAAGCCCGGGATTTCGGGATCAGGACTCCTCCTACCCCCCTCTTCAAGAGAGTAATACATAGAGTTAGAAGGTCTTTCGTGTCTAAAAAAGTGGTGATAATAAATCTAACACAGAAAATAAACAAAAAATTTGATAAAAGACAACCACTAGCGAGGTTCATCATTGTGACCAACATTTTATTTAAAGTTCTTTTTAAGACCTCAAACCATCCCCTATTAATATCGACCAGTAGAAAAACAAAAGGTGCAGAAAAGAAAAAGAAAAAAAAAGGTTCGATTAAAGGAAATTACTTTATCATATGATATAATAGAAGATTGCAAAAATACACATTAAAGTCCACAATGATAAAGAATAACGTATCAAAGATTGCTACTAAGTGAACACAATCCAAAAGCACGTCACCTGCTAACTTGAATCTATCCCTCCCCTTACTGCAACTCTTGTGACCGATACAGACGCTACTGCGCAACACCACCATAGGCAAACACGACGATAAACACATCAAAAAGAAAGAAAAAACATCACACACAATGATTATAACTAGGCTGAGTATAGATATAGACTTTATCAACAAGTAAATACTAAAAATGAGAGACAATCCTCAAAACTAACGATAACGGACTTTTTGGTTTTTTCCTTTCATATCATTTAACTCTTATGATAAGGAAATTATTTAAAAAAAGATATATCCTACATAATAACAACATGTACGTGTATAAACACTTTCTACTTTCGTAGTAAGACAAAGTAATGCTTTTGAGTATTTTGATTAGTCCCACATGATTTTGTTTCTTATGTATTGGAAATTCAGTTTTTAAGTCTATGGCATGCTGGTCACCTTTTTTGAAAAGCTAAATGTAGAAATAATCTAAAATTAATAGCTCTTATGTAATGGACGATGAACATTTCACATGATAATTCATGAACAAAAACGATTATATATTACTAGTATATTCAGTAGTGATATTTTTATGCATACGGTAATCATGGTAATCAAATTTGAATGTCAGAAATGAAGGCGCTGATGTACATCTTTAAATTTGTCAACAAATCCTAGATGAATATTAAGGACATAGTACATCTATTATAAATAGCACAGTTTTTGTTTATATTTTGATATACTATGGGTTGAATGAGTATACTTGTGCTTATATACCCTTTTTACTCCTTTAAATATCTGTTTTTAGATATTTAGTGTTAAAAATGGAAAATTTAAAAGTCAGTTTAACACTTCATACAAATCTAGAACGTTGACAGGTTTGGATAACAGATCCACAATAAGAAATTTGTAAAACGATTCGACTTTTGATTTAGAGCCAACCTTTTGAGATACCGTGAAAATAACACTCTCTCACCATACCCCCTCCCCCCCCAAAAAAAAAACAAAGCAACGAAAAAACAGCGTAAAACACATATCTATCCCTTTTGTTAACATTTAGAAAACTGTCTCTCCGGAATGTTATCTGATCCCTTCAACAAACGGTCATGAAAACGCGGACTTTACAAAATACATCTATCATGTCTATATATTACTTTACATAAATTGTCATCCTGCCTTTTTTTTGCCAAGTTGCCCATCCTGCCTTTTTTTACTCAAAACTCCTGTCCTGCCTATTTTTTTCAAATTTCATCCTAGCCCCTCCCCCATAAAAATCAAATGGTAGCTCCCTTATAACTACAATAAGTCACAGTATCCCTGTAGCCTGCTATATCATGCCAAAATAATGAAAGTCAAAACTGAAAACAAACCTTGATTCAAAAAGTATGTTTTGTGAACTAAGTACAATAAAATTATATAGATAACAAAAAATCAAAAATGTTATTGTACCTTGAATCTGTATCCATAACTGTTTTTCTTGTTATGTTTAGCCAAATATAAACATGTACATGGACAGGTGCTCTGATCTGCTCTAACATAATAGTATTTTTTCTGTAATGA